CATTGTCACTGTGCTATCCTGGCTCCATTTACCCTGAGATTGAACCATGTCGTGCTTCTGGACAATGGTAGTCATGCTTCTGGACAATGGTTGTGGGGAACTCGTAGGTGTATTGTTCCTTCTTAATTGCTTCCATGAGTGCAGCATTGTCGGATATGAGCCTACAGTGCATCCATTACCTCATCGACTGTTAACACACTGATAGCCTTGCTTTAGGTATGTGTACACACAGATTCAGGTCATTTAACAGTACGTTGTATTAACACAACCTACAGGCTGGCGTACAGAACACTGACTATAGTCAGAATACAGAGCGTTCCGTTCTTGTTTGTCCTACTAAAACATCATTTACCTGTACATTAGTTTTTTCAACACAACTCTGTGTTCACATATACTGCATGAATACAGTTATTGGACAACAACAACAGTTTTGTCTGATAAATAACAAACAATACTTTTAAATCATTAAATACTGACTAGAGGATACGTTTTACACATTTTGAAAGGATCAGGAATACATTGTTACCGGAGGAAGAGGTTTTGATTTGATTTCATTTTTTAAGGTTTTAACAATTTCTGTCTGTGTTACCGGAAGAAGGTACATATTATTGAAACATTTTCCTGTTCAAGTACATGTACCATGTTTAGTAACAGTTGAAAAGAGGGTTCTTAGCTCCTCATACATATACACAAATCACCTGGTTACTTTTGTTTTGGTTTATGTTTTTTCAGTCAATATTAATTTTATTTATGTTTCTTCAGTGAATATTAATTTTGTTTATGTTTCTACAGTCAATATTAATTTTGTTTATGTGTCTTCAGTCATTATTAATTTTGTTTATGTGTCTTCAGTCAATATTAATTTTGTTCTTATCTGTGTGCATCTGTGTAATACATCTACCCCAAAAGTACCTATTTAAGTTTTCAAAATATTGACATCTGACAGCCAGAAAAAGAGTGAATGTAAGTTTGTGTTTTTGTAACATATGCCTCCCTCCAAGACATATTTTGGGCATTTGTTGTATACTTCGTGTTATAATTAGGCTTTCATACATTAATATCATCTTATGTTGCAGTCGGTATATCTAATAATCTTAACTTCCCTTTACTATGACAACTTAAGCATTAAAACTCATTTCAACTCAAAGATGGTTAACCTTTGCGGCATAGAATATAGTAAGGCTGAATTTCTATACCCCAGTCACAGAAATATCATAGTACTCTCAATGTAGTGGAACACTTTTTATGGATAGACAACTTCTTTGTTGTAGTAGTAGTTGCAACGTTTCGGTGTAGATCCTAACACCATTATGAAGCAAATGATGAAGGAAGGTACTCTCAATGTGTTTCAGTTTGTCGATATGTTCTCTTAACAGTTCCCAAACTCGTACTAAATTTCATAACAACAACAAAAACGTAAACACATCTTATTTTAGTTTTTTATGTGAACCTATTCAAATGACGTATATTTGGGTTGTAATAATGTCTAATCTAGGCACTGTCCTGTAACAACTTAGAAGAATATGGACAAGTTTTGAGGCGAACAAGGTCGTATTATCCATTTGTATTTAAAGCATAAATCTTGTTTCATTATGTCAACATCTGGAGCTATGTTCTTACCGAACCTTGTCAAACCATATCACAAATACAGGGAACATTTTACACAATTAGGTAACCGTTAGACCTGTATTAGCATTTCGCTAACAGATATATAGTAATATATTTCGTATAAGACAAAAATCACAACAGTGTCTGTAAAACCACAGAAATAAGTTAGTACTCGAAGTATGTTTCAGAGTTTGTTCTTATAGATTTTAAATAGTTGCCAAACTTCCGCAAAACGTCAAGACTACAAAAAATGAACACATCCTTTTTAAGTTTTTTATGTGAACCTATTCATATGGCATTTGTTTGGCCTGTAATGATTCCTAATCTGGACATTGTCGTGTAACAGCTTAGAGGAATGTTTCTCTGGTTTGAGACAAACAAGTACGTGTTATCCATTTGTATGCAAAGAATAATTCTTGAATCGTTATGTCTCCATCAGAACCATGAACGTCACGGATACAGGGGAAATTCTATGTAATATATATACAGCTAGACGTATTTACCATTTCACTAACAGATATTTACACAAGTACTACATGTAATATAAGACGAAGAATTGCAGTTTAATTAACGTAAAATCAACTTTATTTCAGAGAACTGTTATAACAGTACATCACCCAGAAGGAACATATACGGACTGATTGATCAACTCCAGTGGAAGTCCTTTGCAACTATTCAAGACCAAGACGAAGGTATGACAAGATACAACTCAATGTGATTGTTAAAGAAATGGAAATATAGAAATAAACTGACCTAAATTCGGTGGTGGTGGTGGAATTGGATTTAACGTCGTGCTTGAGAATATTTCGCTCATATGACGACGTGCATGCGTGTCTATGTGTATGTGCGGCTGCATGTACTAGCCCAGACTGAAGCTGGTTTTATAGTGCTAGCCCACTGAGATACCATGCCGCAGTGAAGCATGAATACCCCACTTAGACACATTATACTGACTCCGAGCCGACCAGTCCTGGTTGTACCCATTAATGCCGAGCGCCAGGCAGGGACCAACAAGTACCATATTTTAACGTGTTTTGGTATGACGCGGTCGGGGATCGAACCTGCGACCTTCCGCTCTCCGGGCGGACGCTCTAACCACTACACCACGGAGGCGGTCGACCTAAATTGGGAGAAATTGGGATATGTTGTGGGTGATGCTGTGGAATAATTAACATGATCACTATTTCAGTACACGTACGTCATTAACGTTCTATAGAAGCTGATTAGCAATACTCATCTCAATTACAGTATCTTAAAGTGGCATTTTCAGAAGCTGTGCTGACAAAGGCGACACGTCTTTGATTACTGACACATGCAACAAAACTCGTTGACAGAATGAAGAAGTTGAATTTTGTCTTCTGTGAATTACGGGGCTGGCAGTTTAGAGCCAAACGTTGATAGACTGCGATGATAAAGTTGGTTGCAAATTATTTTCAACACAGTCTCTTACGAGGTCAAATTCGCGTCTATCACTCCCATTGATGCCATTGGTGTAGAAGGCTTGATCCCAATGGTTTATAAGTCTTCTTGTCAGAATAATGCTTACCAGTTTTGTCTTATTGTTTTTAATGTGTTGTTGTATGGAATGAGGCCTTACAAATTGAAAAAATTCTGTCTGTCTGTTAATGTTTTTAAGAAGTGGAATATCTGATGGTGCCAAATGTGTTTAAGAGGGAGGATGGCCAGGCAGTTAAGTTCCACGGTTATGGACTTCACTGGTTTTTCAGTCCTCTTCGGAGATTGTTCACAACCTGAATTATTAGGAATTCCAGATATTCGAAAGCTTTGCTAGACTACCTTCTTCATCTAAACGCCATATGTTTCCGCTGCTTTGACTGTTGTTTAATCTCTGGCTGACAGCGGTTACCCAAAGACTCATCAACAGTCACGAATCCCTGACCAAAAGCAGCTGGTTGTGCTTCGAAATTCTTCTGAGAGATGGTGATTGTGGAGTGCTTCTGATCATGAACCAATAGTATTTGGGCTCAGCGTTCTCGTTCTGATACCATTGTCATGCCGATGCCAAATAATTCCTTGGAATAATCTAGCGTACAACAAGTGCATACTTTTAAATTATGATCTATGTGACATGTGGTGGTGAGTAGTAGAACATTCATAGCATGTCGTGTAATTTATATTCATTTTCCTTGGTGGCTGGAGTTCAAGCTCGTCCTGTTCAATGGTTAAAGCGTCCGCTCGGCACGCTCAAGACCCGGGTTCGATTCCCGACATGGGTATAATGTGTGAAGTCCATTCCTGGTGTCCCTCGCAGTGATATTGCTGAAATGCTGCTAAAAGCGGCGTAAAAACACACTCACTCACTCATCCTACTCGCACCGGTCCACAAAGAAGGACACTGTGTCTGCATGGGTGACTGGCGGCGCAGAGAATACCTGGTCACATGGATGGCTACAGATTTTAGCTGCCTGGTTGTGTATTTAGTTAAAAAATATAGCCAGGTTAGAGATATACTAGTTAGACATTCTTGGTTTAAGGATCAGAAAATAATTTCAGCATCCCCTGGTATATTGATCCTACGACAACACAATGGGTTTGAACATTGTATGATTCCCGAAAATATCAACGAAATCAATCAGGCAGAATAATTGTGTGATACATTAATTTTCGCAGTTAACGTTAATCTTGTTTTAATTGTTTCTGTTAGGTTCATTTGGATCTTCTTCTTTCAGAGACAGTATTCCCTCACCCTCTGAAGCAACAAGTACATGACATCAATGGGATCAACAGTAGCCGTATCTTGCAGACCATTCACAGTTCACTGTTCCCGGATGTGAATATTGTCATGACTCTGAACGACAGCTCAATGCTGCAAGTGGTCGCTGGGGTGATTATACTGTAGTTTTATACATGTGTGAATATTTATTCTTTCCAGTTGCAATTATCTGGTGTCAAATCATATGGGGTGATACACATTTTCATATTCCTTAAGATCCAGGTTAGAATTGGTCTTCAACAACCCATGACTTGGGTAAGTACCGACTAACGGGATTGGGTTGGCAGGTGTCATCATATTCACATTGCTTAGATCGGTGCTTATGATGTCAATCTCTGGATTGCCTGGTCCAACCTCGACTATTTACAAAGAAGCTAAAGAACAAACAAATAACATAAAACACAATGTCATGTAACAGATGTGTTTGAACAGCTCTGATAACTGAGTCAGAAACACAATACGACTGAGAATGTGAAATTAATACAGCATTTTCAATATCATTACTCTTTTATAATTGAATTATTGTACATGTATATGTAGCCATGCTATCTAGAATGTTCATCAATTAATATTATATTTCAGATAGACAAATTTGATCTTGATTCGAAACAAACTACTGATTTCCGGCATTATTCAAAGATTTTTATGATCATGAAGAATGACAGTAATCTACAAAAAAGTGGCTCAGGATGTACAACATCTTGAAAACGTGGCAGCAATAGTTGTAAATGGCATTCCCTGGGTGAGTTTGAATGTTGTTTCTTCGTACTGTTAGAACAGTCACTTAACAAACTTCAACACACCATTAGAGAGCAACTTTATGATTTTGGGGAGAGCTGGTGTTGGTGTTGGTTGAGTATGGTGTGTGAGGGAATTGGGGTTAGCGATAGGATGTAGACATACCGAAGCCAATGATCTACTAAGTTGCTTGTAAGACAACTGTTACTTACGTAGGGAGGGTAACTATCAACTTGACCTTCTTGTAGACTAAAAGATTAGTGTCTAAAGAGTACTGTTCTACTTATATGGATTATAATCACATGATTAAGTTCACCGTAACCCTATTAAAAGGTCAGCTCCCAAACATTAAAACAAAAATGCTGATCTTAAAGCAAACTCGTAGTTCCATTAGTGAAAATCAAATTATTCATCACTTAATCGTAATTACATGTACATTGAATCGAGGTGAGGAAATAAAGTTGTTACGATGCTCATTCATGATAATTATTACAATAATGTTGACATTACCCTTGTAACAACCGTTTATCGTTCAGGCTGAATCAGACATCGAAGAAATATACACGCTTCAGTGGGTTCCTACAAGGAGAGTGTTCACTAAAGTCCATCTGCAGGGGCACTGTAATGTGTCTCTGGTGACCAAACTGTTTCCAAATACACAGTATGGTTATAACAGGCGACGGGTGATAGCATCAACAGTGGAGGTACGGTGCCTTAACAAACCCTCTTTTATTATCTGTAAATTTTACTGGTGATTCAATGACGGTAATGATTTGTAAAGGCCTACGAACGTTAAAATATGCTTACCTTAACCTCTTTAGTGATACTGAAATGGAAAGGACTGATTTTACAACGTTGCAATGAGGTATGGTGCCCATAGTAAACAAACTGTTTTACTTTTTCTGTTAATTCAATTGGTGTTTCAAGGACGTATAATAATTTTCAACGGATATCGAGCTTGAACACGTGTTTATATTAACCTGTCTGCTGATAACGAAATGGAAACAATGGATTTTGTCATGTTTTATCACGGTTATTTCATTTTCGAAAAGAAACAATAAATATTACAATAAACAAATAAATAACAGTTATATCAGATATTTAAAATGGACATTTCGCAGAGGCAGCTACCTGTTCCATATATGTTCATGAATTAATCTACTGATACCGAAACGGACAGAATATATTTTGTTATATCATATATTATATCATATATCCAAAATCTGCTATTCACAGATGCTGCTACGAGTTCCATATGTGTCATGAATAAGTAGGTTTCATTCTTCCTTCAGACGCCTATGGGAGTTCTTAGAGAGGTCATAAATGGCACAAACGTCTTCAGTGGGTTTTGCATTAGAATATGGCATGAAATAGCGGCAGCCTTAAATCTAAGGTAAGGAACGTGTGCAATAACGTTAGGTTAAATCAGTAACATTTCATCAGAATGAATTCGCACATTTTGAGTGAGTGTTTGACTTTATTTTTACGCTGCTTTTAGCAATATTCAAGCAATATGTGACCCATGTGGGGAATCGAACCCGGGTCTTCGGCGTAACCAGCGGACGTTTTAACCACTAGGCTATCCCACCGCCCTGCAGAAAAGTGGCGATCGAGAATGCTGTTAGAGAACTGCTTATGACTAGGATCCGAATCATAATTTCTTGCTGCTATGGCTGCAATTATCATGTCAGCGTCTTCCACAAGCGACGGCGTGGGACCGGATGGGCGTGGGACGATTTAAGGTATAATCGTCACATGAATGCCTCTTTTATTTGGTGTCCAACGCTTTTTTTTATCTTTATGCAGTTATGTCCTCACTGAACCAGAGGATGGAGCCTGGGGCTCCTTCATAAATGGCACATGGACGGGAGTGGTCGGTCAGCTCATGAAAAGGGTAAGATCATGATATTACATAGGAGTAACCCGTGAAGATCCGGGCTAGAATTGGTCTTGTGGTAAGAGACGTCTAACGGGATCGGGTAGTCAGCTCGCTGACTTGGTTCATACATGTCATCGTATCCCAACTGCGTAGACCAATGTTCATGATGTGGATCACTGAATTGTCTGGTCCTGATTCGATCATTTACAGACGGTCGCCATATAGTTGGAATATTGCTGAGTGCGGCGTTAAAAACAACAAAAATGAATAGGATTAATAAGTTATTAACTATTTCAATTTTATCATTTTTTTCAGGAAATTGATATTGCCGTAACTGATTTGTCAGTTCACTATGGACGATCACAGGTGATCGACTACATCAATCCCGCCTACCTTGTGGACGGCGGGGACATAGTCTACAGAATGAAGACAGATTCGACAAGGTCATTCTTCCTGATTGCCAGACCACTGAAACTTGACGTCTATCTGACATTCGCTGCCATCACTGCGGGCCTTCTTCTGATATTCATCGTCACAGACAATCACCAGTATTTGATTGATGTTCCAATGTGTAAGGGTGTGCCAACTATATTCTCAAGGCAATTTACATCGATGGGTCTGGAGTTCGCTGGGTCACTACTCAAACAAGGTTTGTATATTGTCATGATTTGTGTGTCTTTGTCATTCCTTTACGAAAGCCCAATGCTGCCATTTTTGTAGCATAAAATATTTTTCAGCGACATTTCTAGTTGCTTCGATTATTTTGTCTGTGCTTGGGACTGTTTTCTCGTTACTTCAAGTCTCTTTAAAAAACTTGAAACTTTGAGTATTTTCTCGTTCCTAGGAGCATATTCTCGTTACTTGAATTATTTTTTCGTTGCTTCGATTATTTTCTCGCTGCTTCAAGTAAGTTTCCCGTTACTTCAATTAATTTCGGGTTGCTTCGAGTATTTATTCGTCCTTTCAGCTATATTTCATAAACTTGAAGTTACTAGAAAATACTCGAAGTAACAAATAAATTTCACTTTTTTGACAGAAACTTGAAGCAACGAGCTCGAGAAAATAGTCGAAGCAACGAAAAAATAGCTAAGAAACCAGAATATATATAAAATAGTTTATGCTACAAAAGTGGCAGCAGTAGGCTTTCGTATTATTTCTACCGATTACCTTCAACTGGTATGTTTTCTTTTCTTCAGTATTTTTTAAAAATAAGAGTTGATATAATTGTGTTTTGGAGATTTTCTGATAATTTTGGTGTAGGCTGTCGTGGTGGCGTTTTTCATCAGCTGTTATAGTTATAATAGCAGGGAATTAAGTTTGACTTACCTCAGAGCCACTAGGTAAACATCATGGCAAAGTATAATGGACAGGGAATCAATGTATGCTTCAAACCAACAGAACCAATACAGGAATGACTGGTTTCAAGAGGTCTCCAGTACAGTATTCTCGTCATAAGTATTGAATAATTAATGGGATTAGGTATTATGTAAATAGATACTGCCAACTGCATCGTTAAGCATCATTCATTGATAGCACTGGGGTTTCATTACTGTTATTAGCGAACAAATGGTCTTTAAGGATTCCAGACACAAGCAAAGAGTAAGGCCGGGAGTGTTCTGTTGGCCTCGTTCTCGATACTGGTTGTCCTGATCTCATCCGTGTACTGTGCCAACCTCATCGCTTCTCTGACTGCACAACCAGGCGCCACTACCCTATCCAGTATCGATGACCTCGTCGACAGCGACTACACTGTTGGCATATACACCATCGGTATTGATTACTCCGAGCTTCAGGTACGGGTTCGGGGTTCTACAGTCATTAGACTGTGTTATTGAGTTGCACATTATTTGTCATTTGTTTGCCTATCCTATGAAATCAATATCTTTGTTTATCTAAAGATTTTAAAATGAACATTCAGTGGTTGCATGTGGCATGTGCATGTGGCATGTGCATGTGATTTTTAAACGACTGAAGGTTAAGTAATTTTCAAAGTCACATATATTTAAGCAACAGGCAGGTGTATCCTAGCTCGCTGACTCACTGACCCGTATCCCATTTACAAAGATCGATGCTGATATTATCAGTCACTGGATTGTCTGGTCCCGAATCGATCATTTATAGTCGACCGTAGCTGGAATATCGCTGAGTGCGGTGTTAATAAAGCAACAGCTACAAAAACAACCGTTATGTTCTCTACACAGAACACATCATCTGTTGGCACCTAGTGCTACTTACATAACGTACCCATCAGACCTGTTACATGTGCCATTTCGGTGTGAGTACGTAATTGTCTGTAAATCCTCGTTGAACGTATTTGCATACTAGTCTGTTTAACGGTATTTAGAAGTGACACACATAAAAGCAAGAAATGCATGGATGTCAACTTCTTTACTTCCATAAATCCTCGCCTTTACAAGTTTGTTGATTAACTGACTGACTGAGTTTGGTTTTACGCCGCTTTTAGCAATATTCCAGCAACATCACGGCGGGGGACACCAGAAATGGGCTTCACACATTGTACCCATGTGAGGATTCGAACCCGGGTCTTCGGCGTGACGAGCCAACGCTTTAACCACTAGGCTACCCCACCAGCCCTTTGTTGATTAACACCGCATAGTATTAGTTTAATCATTCGGTAGGTAAAACGAAATAACGAACTGGTACACAGTGATACCATGCATGCTCCAAAAATTGTTCATGAAATCGTTAAATCATATTTCCGCATTAACGAAATATTGGTACGAATTTGTCGATGTTGCCCTTTTCTTAGACATTGTTCAAGCGGTGGTCGTATCAAAAATGTATTTTAAACGCTTGAACATATGCTTGGTGTTTCACTCCAGAATTCCGACCGACCTCAAATCCGTCGTCTTCGAGACAAGATGCGGAAACTGAGTGAACAAAATCCCGGGATATTTCTGAACAACCGGTCGTCACACATGAACAGAGTTAAAGAAGGTATACATGCCCACATAACCTACAGAGCTATAGCAGCGAAATACATGGCTGAAGACTGTCACCTCGCTCTGATAGGGGAACCGATAACATGGTCCGAAGAACGTATTTCCTTTGGAATACTGAAAGGCTCAACGCTCAAAACGGATTTGGACAAAGTGTACGTATTATATTTTTATTGGCATTCTTGAAGTTGGTGAGTCAATAACGAAGCATACAACCTTATGGACAAGTACATGTTTATTGCAATGTTACCTTAATAACGGTGTAAGAATCTACACTGAAACTTCGCCCTATGCAATAAACAAGAAGTTGTCATCTACAAAGCTGAATGTTTCATTATTGTATGTATTGTAGCTTTGTAGTTACATTTAATTGCAGCGTATGTGGCATTCATTTATGACTAGAATCGTCTCCCCTTACTTAGGATCCGCAGTTCTTGAAACCCGTTAGAACTGGTCTTTAGCAACCCATGCATGTCGTAAGAAGCGATTAGCGGGATCGGATGGGAAGACTCGCTGACTTTGGTGACACATGTCGATCGATGTAATCGACACATGAAGATCCCGTGAAGGTGCGGGTTAGAATTGATCTTCAGCTACCCTGACTTGTAAAAAGGCTACTAACGGGATCGGGTGGTCAGGCTTCGCTGACTTGGTTGACACATGTCATCGGTACCCAATTGCGCAGATCGATGCTCATGTTGTTGATCACTGGTTCGTCTAGTCCAGACTCGATTATTTACAGAAAGCCGCCATATAGCTGGAATATTGTTGAGCGCGGCGTAAGTAAAACTAGACTCACTCACTCACCGTTACCTGTGACAATAATTGTGTTTGATTATGATTACTCAACACGGGCTGATAACTTGGACGGATTCGTACCACTGGAAATACGTCTAAAGATGTTATTTTTTACCACAGTTCAGTGTACTTATAATCGGTTGCAGTAATGGTAGATTGACCTGTGATGTGTATACCCTTACCATGTGGCAGCATAGCCCCATATAAGTACCAGAGGCTCTCCTGGAAGTAGTTGCTTCCTATTGGCGCGACGATATCACTTTTAAACAGCAATCAATCCAAACCAAGCAGTTGTTCTTGAATCTCAGAACTCTTTCATCTGTGGTGATTGTCAGCACCACGTCAGATATTTATTGAATTTTTCATCTTCCGTTTAATCCAGAACCCTCTAGAGTACAGGTTCATGTACGCAAAACAACATTTGAAGTGGAAAATATGTAATTGATCATTTCAGCATGTACAGACTGAAGGAGAGTGGTTTGCTGGAAGAGTGGTGGAAGCAATGGAACGCCAGGGACATCGCCACCACATCTTGTGAAGCTGAGAGCACCGGTGTCAGGACCATCATCTCCCTGAGGGAGATGGGGGGCGGATTCCTGGTTGTGTGTGGAGGACTGGGACTGTCATGTCTGGTGTTAATAGGGGAGATATGTAGACAGCGATGTAAAAAGAAAACGAACTAGCACTATTCATTTAACACAAACGATACAATAGAATTATACTGATGATGATACGACATTTTACCTATATGGATATTCGAAATCAGGGCTTAGAGCATGGTTTTACGTCCCTTTTAGCAATATTCCAGCAATATCAAGGCGGGGACACCAGAAACGGGCTTAACACATTGTACACATGTGGGAAATCGAACCCGGGCATTCTGCGAGACGAGCGATCGTTTTAACCACTAGGCTACCCCGCCGCCCCTAAATGTGATAAAAGGGATGTTTACGTCCACGTTGAAATCCCACATCAATTTCCTTGTGTATTGTGGTTGTTGTTGTTTTATGTAAACTGATTAAAATGTTTCGAGACCCTTGCCCGAGTCACGATATTGTTGAAATAATGACCGACAAATGCAAAGACAGGTGAATGTTATTGCTCATATATTAAAATAAAGTTCAGTCCATCTTGAAATTAGCTGCGTCATAACTGCTTTCTGAAAGAAAAATCTTCTTAAACCCGTGAAGATCCGGGTTAGAATTGGTCTTCATACGAGGCGACTAACGGGATCGGGTGGTCGGGCTCACTGACTTCGTTGACACATGTCATCGTATTCCAATCACGTAGATCGATGCTCATGCTGTTCATTACTGGATTGTCTGGTCCGGACTCGATTATTTACAGACCGCCGCCATATAGCAACAACCAACCAACCAACAAAAACTATTCTTAGAAAACATGATTGCTCTGTTAAAGAAGGTGGTGCGAGACGATTGAATAGGCGAGCGAAACATGCTACTGTGTGTGGCAGAAAGATATGGGGACATCCAATTACGGCCTTTCATCCAACAAATCAGTGCTTACGATCTAACGACAGTGAAATTCCGAATAAGTTTCCTAATCATGCAACAGGAAGACGTTCACATGAGGCATTCCGAACGACAATGGCGGGTTTTACAACCGATTCCATCAAACATGATTGCCTACATCGAATTCCGACATTTCAATTGGTCAAAGTTTGAGAAAGGTCCTTTCGTCGTGACCTCTAATGAGATAACCTGAGATATTCATGATCATATAGCCGTAGTAAGAACAGAATATTAGACGTGGGGCACTGGAGGTTTAGACTGCGGAGTAGATGCATCTCTTTGGAACCTTGGTAGATTGTGAGATTATTGCTAAAACTGCTTGTTTGACGCAGTGGTACAGACCCGTGTTGTTTGCAAGTTGTCCAAAGTGGGATTGTCATGGGAAACAACTCCAGGAGGGTCATGTCACGTAGCTCTTCCGTCCGTAAAACACCGGCCGGGCCAGCTGCTTCTGAACTATTCACCCTTCAAGGAAGCCCCCAAACCAACCCCCTGGCAGCGTCTTCAAAGATCTGCATTTTGAGCCTTAAACGCGGAAATGACATTATTTCCAGTGAGAAATATTAATCACAATTTTAACTTTTCCTTGACTCAGATGGTAAGCCGACTGTGAAAATTGTTTTATTTTTTGCCGGTGATGAAATTAGTTGGTTCTTCCCTAGAGATGGCATACGCCACAAATTCATGCACAGGAAAGTCATATATACACACGTGAGCTTATATAATATCTCATTGTTGCGTCACATGTGGAAATGTCCTCCCCATTTTATAAACCTTATTTATGCACTGATGTTGTATTATTCAATATGCTCTTTTTACGAAGATTTCAATGGCTCTTGTCTAAAAGTTTTTTAGTCAAGGTTAAAGTATTCAAGGTCTTATAACCCTTTAGAAACGTTTTGCTATAGACATGTGGAGGATGCAGGTGGTCCCAACTCTAAAAAGCAACACAGGTTTACTGAACAAGCACAACCCAAAACGTACCATCATAGCTGCCAAAGTCACTCAGTCTGATTCCAACAGATCATCTGCGGGATAACCTTGTCACACATTTACGTCAACATCAACGTTAACCAGGATCACAGAATCAACAGCAATTTCGCCAAACTACTTTGGAGAATAGGCTGCCTTTCCATTAAGCACCATCCTGTGGTTTATTCCATGAACAAATACCATGCACACCATGAAGGCAAGTGCAGAACACACAGAGTTCTAAGCTAAGCAATAATCAGCAGTAAGTCTACGTTAACACATTTCATCATGATATCTCGTTTGATGTTAATTACGAAATAACCATGAATCTCTTGAGGACCACACAGGGTTGCTGAAGTCCAATTCTAACAGGAATCTCCATGGGGTACAAACATGAGTTACTGAAGACCAATTCTAACCCGGATCATAACGGGTTAGACCGATTATGAGTTGAATCAGTGAATGTTGTTTAATCAAGACTGGACAGGTACATGTAACAAAAAACTGGAACATTCAGTGGCTTCCAAAGTGATGGCGTGGTCTTGGTTCTCGACTGAACTGAACTGGACTGAACTTTATTTTAACTCAGGCCGCAGACAGCGGCATATGAGGTTAACATATGTGTAACAATTATATATATCCATATATACAAAGCAGCAAAAGAAACGTCAGTTTGGAATTTTCCTTCGCAGAAACGGATAACTGTAAACTCATGTAATGTTTTCATTGTATATTTTTGACAACATCTCCAACTTTACCTGAGCAAAGACATTCCTTCCCAAACTCAGAATGGAACCCAGGAAATGGTCTCAAAAACGCATCCTGATCTCGGAGATGGTACGGTGTTCTCCGTGTTTTTCATGCAACTCATGCTGCACGTGCTGTTCACAAAGACTAGCCCTATAAAATGCACCCCCCAAACCTGGTTGAAACATTCACATTACAACATCAGGAGGATGCCCCTTCTCACGACAGCTGAGAGGAACCAGGCGCTAGGAAGACTTGAAGCTGGCCACACTGCACAAGCCCTTGCTAATCACTTCCAGGTCAACGTTCGGACCATCTACAGGCTGCAGCAAGGTTTCCGGGCCATCAACACCACAAATGATCGCCCCGTACTGACAGACCAAGGGTGCCTACAAGACGACAAGGCCGCCATGTTGTGCGACAGCATGTACAGAATCCCTTTATGCAAGCATCCGAAACGGCACGCCATACAGTGGGAACACGCGGAAGACCAATCGGTACTGATACAGTACGCCGACGTCTCCGGGAACCTCCATTGCCGTAGACCTTACCGTGGACCTAACCTCACCCCTCGTCATCGGCGTGAACGTCTACAGTTTTCACTACAACACCAAAACTGGCGATAAAGGCAATGGAGAACTGTTCTGTTCACAGGTGAGAGTCGGTACTGCGTATCAACTGCAGATGGCAGAACAAGAATATGACGACGACGTGGCCAGCGTTACTCAGACAAATGTGTTATGGAAAGAGACTCATGAGGAGGTGCAAGCATCATGGTATGGGGTGGAGTAGGCCTGAACCCGAGAGTGGGTCCTGTGGTGTTCCAGAACCTTGGTCCAGGGAGAGGAAGCGGCATCACAGCGGTGCGCTACATCGACCAAGCTCTCAGACCCCACGTCATACCACATTTCGCACGTCACCGGCACAACATTTTCCAGCATTTTCCAAGATAACGCCCGGGCCCATACTACCAGAGCTACACGAGACTTCCTACAGCAGAATGATGTCAACATTATGCAGTGGCCAGCCTTTAGTCCTGATTTAAACCCAATTGAATATCTTTGGGATGAAATTCAGGGGAGACTTAATAATGTCACTCCAAGGACGAACACGGGCGATTTATTGCGCCAGGCATTTCTCAGAGTGTGGTTCCAGGTGCCAATTGCCTGCATCAATCGATTGGTGCACTCCATCCATAGACGCTGTGCTGCAGTTATTGCCGCTCGTGGTGGTCACACTAGATACTGAAGTCAAGAGTCACGTTCACGTAATGTCTTGGAATTGTGCTGAGTTATTCATTGATGTGTCAAGATATTGTACACAAAAAATGTTTTGATCCGCTTATTATGTCCATTTCTGTAATGCAGGTAGCTATGTACAATATATGACGATGTGCTCGGAAATGGCATGGTGACAAGAAATAAGACTACGCCATCGTGTAGTAAGCCACTAAAGTCACTTCCACCACCAACAGCTGGCGTCAGAGGAAGCTACAATAGGTCATAGCCATCAGGAGACCCCTTGGGACTTTTTAACCTTATTGTCTATGCTGGCTTCCATGTCACCATGTCCAATCACTGATCAGTGCTATTATCCCCTATTGTTCATTGCTTATCAGTGTTTGATCGGCTAACAGGACTATTAATTGCTGGCTTCTGTTTGTTCATTGCCATTACCAATCAGCTCCAATTAACAACTGGCATCCCTGATTAAGTGTCCATGTCGCTATTGTTATTGTTTCACATGTACTTATATAGCTATCTGCTTCCTACTTTTAATTAACCAGATGAAGGAGTAAGAATATACTCCGAAACGTCGTATTCTTAAAAATAGACGTGGACATTCATAAACGTTCGACTTTTATGGGATTACTTCTAAATGCTGTCTAAAGACTGTGCCTATGCAAACAAATTATTTTTCATGAATGTTCAGCTCATGCAAACCGGTCTATATTTTCATCAGGAAGTGCTGGTCACCTATCCGTCGGTTAATTGCTTTCCCTTGCTAACACACCAGTACCATTAACAGGCAATGTACAGGTATCAGCCAAAGCTCATTGACAAACAATTCAGTTCTCCAAACACAAAGCCTGTCGATCAATGTGACTATTGATTGAGATCTGTATACGAAGGTGAGTCATAGATATATGGAACTGACGAGATGTCACGGTCCTATATATGATGACCCATACCCTTAGTTGCTGGCGATCTATCACTCGTTTTATGGCTTTTGAATGTTTTATGTTGGTATGCTTTGGGTGAAGATCATGTTCCATTATGCATTGGGTGAAGATCATGTGTCACTATGCTTTTGGCTGAAGATCATGTGTAACCATGCTTTTTCCTGAAGTTTATGTGTCACTATACTTTGGGTGAAGATATTGTGTCACTATGCTTTTGGCTGAAGATCATGTGTCACTATGCTTTGGCTGAAGATAATGTCACTACGTTTTTGGTGAAGATTATGAGTCACTATGCTTTGGCTGAAGATCGTGTTCCATTATGCTTTGGGTGATG